GAAGGGAACAGAAGAGCTCAGATGAAATCAAGTTTGTTTCATCAGGATACAACCGGCCTGAAGATCAAAGACCTGTCACCAAACTGTGAAAAAGACGAGAGTGCTATTACTGTGGCAAGATCGGACATATCAAGGCATACTGCTACAGCAGATGGAACAGAGTTCAGAAACTAATGAAGCAACGGATGTTCAGTTGGAATGGTTCCACGAATCAAGTCTGGCTCAGGAAAGAGGATTTGCGATTCGAACCTAAGGGACAACAGAAGAAGAATTCTTTCAAGCCAAGAGAATTCACAGTTAAGAGATCTTTCAGGGATGATCCAATGTCAATGCTGTGGCATGGATTCAAGTGCAACATGGCCCAAGTTGAGAGCGACGAAGACGAGTCAGAGCCTTGGTACTTCGATAGTGGCTGCTCACGGCACATGACTGGAAACCGAAGCTACCTCCGAAATGTTAAGAAGATTAAGGGATGAAGAGTCACGTTTGGTGATGGAAGTGTCGGTGCCATACAAGGAAAAGGCATTACAAAAGACGAAAATCAGCCTGATATAGTCAATGTATACTTAGTACAGGGACGTAAGGCGAATCTTATTAGCATAAGTCAACTGTGTGATGAAGGGCTAATTGTGATATTCAGCAACAAAGGATGCAGAGTAGTGAATGATGATGGACAAATTATCCTAGCTGGAGAAAGATCAGGCAACAATTGCTACATGTGGAACAAGTCAGGATCGGTTATGAGCTGTTTTACTGCCTGTGATAATCTGCAGCTGTGGCACCAGCGACTCGGACACATGAACATCAGGAATCTCAATGATCTCATCTCAAAGGAGAGCATTAGAGGAGTTCCAAAGATCAAGGAAAGAGATAAGTTTGTGTGTGGAGCATGTAACCAAGACAAACAGGTGAAAGTCCAACACAAACGAGTACCTGACGTACAATCCAAAGCACCACTTGATCTAGTTCATATGGATCTGATGGGGCCAGTTCAGACAGAGAGTTTGGGAGGTAAAAAGTATGTGTTTGTGCTGGTTGACGACTTCACCAGATTCACATGGGTTAGGTTTCTCCGAGAAAAGTCGGACACGGTGGATAACTTCAGAATCTGGGCTTTACAACTCATGAATGAACGAAGTTCAATCAAACGAGTCAGGAGTGATCATGGGGGAGAGTTTCAGAACGAGTTCATGAAGTTGTTTTGTGAAAGTTATGGAATAGCACATCAGTTTGCTGCACCCAGAACTCCACAACAAAACGGTGTAGTGGAACGGAAGAATCGAACACTTCAGGAGATGGCTCGTGCGATGATTTATGGGAATCAAGTTCCAAAACGTTTTTGGGCAAAAGCAGTCAGTACATAATCAATCGGGTGTACATGCGAAAGGGAACATCGAAAACTCCTTATGAACTGTGGAAAGAAAAGACGCCTAACGTAAGTTACTTTCATGTCTTTGGATGCAGGTGCTACATCTTGAATGACAAGGATCATCTTGGGAAGTTTGATTCAAGGAGTGATGAAAGAATTTTTCTGGGCTACTCAGGTCATAGCTCAGCCTTTCGTGTGTTCAACATGAGAACAAAGGTTCTGGTTGAGTCAGTAAATGTGGTGTTCGATGACTACGCTCAGATGGAATGGGAGAAGCCTCTGATCGGGAGTGATTCTGAAGGTGACGAAGGTGATCGGGTAACACAGACAGCAGAGGCGATGCAACAGCCATCTGTGTCAACCGAAGAGCCTCAGATCGTGACTCAGGAGAACACAAAGCAAGTTCATCGGAATCATTCAGCCTCAGACATCATCGGTGAGGTGAATGAAGGGAGGAAGACTTGTGGCATTCAACTGGATTTCAAGAAAATGGTTGGGAAGTTCTCTGAGATGGTGCTATATTCCTGCTTTGTGTCAGTGATTGAACCGAAACATCACAGACAAGCGTTGCAGGATGAGTTCTGGATTGTTGCCATGGAACAAGAACTCGAGCAGTTTGTTCGAAATGACGTGTGGAAACTAGTGCCACGACCGATGGATTGCAACATTGTGGGAACCAAGTGGATCTTCAAGAATAAAATTGATGAGAATGGAGCATTGGTTCGAAACAAAGCTCGTCTAGTGGCTCAGGGGTACTCTCAAGTAGAAGGGGTGGATTTTGAAGAGACATTTGCACCTGTGGCACGCCTTGAGTCAATCAGACTCTTTCTGGGAATGGCATGCATACTTAACTTCAGGGTATATCAGATGGATGTCAAGAGTGCTTTTCTGAATGGTCTGATTCAGGAGGAGGTATATGTGGAGCAGCCGAAAGGGTTCGAAGACGCAGGCAATCCAACTCTTGTGTACAAGCTCAAGAAAGCATTGTATGGACTGAAGCAGGCACCCAGAGCCTGGTACGAACGACTGACGAGCTTCCTAGTTCACGAGGGTTACATGAGAGGCAGTGTGGACAAAACCTTGTTCATACGAGAGAAGAAGGATAAGATTATGGTTGTTCAGATCTATGTGGATGACATAATTTTCGGAGAAACCTCTCAAGAGCTAGTTGATGCCTTTGTTGCAAGCATGACGAGTGAGTTTGAGATGAGTATGGTGGGAGAGCTCAAGTACTTTTTGGGACTTCAGATCACTCAATCTGAGGAAGGTGTTTTTATATCACAAAGCACCTATGCCAGAAATCTCTTGAAGAGGTTTAAGCTTGATTCAGCCAAAGAGGCAAAGACCCCAATGAGCACAACCACCAGTCTCACGCGAGATGATGAGGGAACAAGTGTTGATCCAACCTTGTATAGAGGAATGATTGGGAGTCTTCTCTATCTCACAGCTAGCAGACCGGATCTGTGCCTAAGTGTTGGCATCTGTGCTAGGTACCAAGCTAAACCTAAGCAATCACATCTTAAGGCGGTAAAGAGGGTCATCAAGTACGTCAAGGGCACAGTTGAGTTAGGCATCTTGTACTCGAAAGGATCGAATCAGAACCTAGTGGGATACTGTGATGCAGATTGGGCAGGAAGTGCTGATGACAGGAAAAGCACCAGTGGTGGGTGTTTCTTTCTCGGAAACAACCTCATCTTGTGGCTCAGCAAAAAGCAAAACTCAGTGTCCCTCTCCACTGCTGAAGCAGAATACATTGCCATGGGGAGCTGTTGTAGCCAACTACTGTGGATGAAGCAGATGTCCGCTGACTATGGAATGGACTCAGGTCCACTTCTTGTGTACTGTGACAACAAGAGTGCTATAAGCATCTCCAAGAACCTAGTACAACACTCAAGGACCAAACACATCGACATAAGACACCACTTTATCCGTGAGTTAGTGGAAGGAAAACAGGTAGTGATCGAGCATGTTGTCACTGAATCTCAACTGGCTGATTTATTCACAAAACCACTGGACTTTAATCGTTTTGTCACTTTAAGAAATGCAATTGGTGTTTGTGGAATTTAACAAGTGCTTTGAGATGTGCAGAACTGATACAGGTACAGGCTCAGGATGAACATAACGTTTCGATTCAGCCTTGAGGGTTAAAGGTCGGAGAAAAAAAGCTACCTATCTTGTCGTCATGTCTTGACGTCAGTACATGTTTCACAGAGAGAACCAAACAGCCTGAAGGCAATGTAAATCGGTCTTTGAGAAACCGTAATGATGAGACTGAGATACAGGGTAATCTGTACTTCAGAGACAGGTCCTACATCAAAAAGAAAACCTGTCCAAAGCTCAAAGAAAAACCCAAGGCAGAAAAAGAAAGGAAGCTGCCAAGTCACAGTGTATCCAATAAAAAATACACTGCGACAAGTACCTAAGGTTCTCTCTTGCTGAATAAAGGTTGAAAACTGTTGAAGAGCGTGATAAAGACAAGATAGTGTGAAAGCTAGTCTCAGTATCAAACCTAGCGAGGCACAAAGAATCAAGAAGAAGCGGAGTGATCATTCGAGTCATGTGCTGAATCAGCTTATGTATCATCTGTGAATCTGGGTAAATAAGCTAATCTCAAAAGTTGTTTTCAAAAGCTAGTTGAGGTGTGATGAGGTGAACGGTTACTACTCATGTTAGCCACCACAAAATTCTTCGGTTTAAATGTGTCAATGACTGTCGTGTTCCTTGTGATGTACTAATGAATGTTCTTGTGCTAGAAAATGGCTTGTCATGGTTTGAACAGGAAGTGGGCCGTGGACAAATGATGCTCATGTAAACAGGCCCAACAGCAGCCCATGAAGGAAAAGGAAAATCAAAACAGAGGAGAGGGAAATTGAAGTTGCTATATTTGCGGGAGAGGAAGATGAAGAGACGCAACACTGAATTGTCCCAAAACCCTAGGTGCAAAGAATCTGTGCGACTCAATTCGAAGCATCGCCCTTCTAGATCTGCCCTTAAAATGGTGACAGGAACACGCAGAGGAGTTATTGGAAAGAAATCAAAGTCCAAGATGTCGCATGCAGCCACCGATGCCTCGCAGCCTCACATCATTGAAGATGGAAGCACCGATGAAGGAACTCCAACAGTTCCACTTGTTGGAGAACAAGAAACTCAGCCCAAAGATCCGTGTAGCGATGGTGATTCCTTTGCTACAGCTGAGGAAGGAGGTGAATCATCCGTCAAGCCCAGCCGAGAATCAGAACCTGAAACATTGAAGGAAGCTCAGAATCTGACTGATTCACCTAATCCAGTCGAGGCTCAGGAGAAAGTACCTGAAGCAACTCAGGAGGCAGAAACTCAGTCAGTCGATCCATCGTGTGATCGAATTCCGGAGGAGATGTCTGTTCAAGACCAAATCGAAAAAAACAGACAAGAAAACGAAGTCGGCAAGTAGCTCTGGTCCCTCCAGCTAAGCGACCTCGACAAGATTCCGACGATTCAGAGACTAATCCTCCGAGTGCACCAGCGGAACCATCACAATCCTCGAACAAGAAAGCTGAGTCTTCCAAATCAGAGAAAAGGAAGAAAAAGAAGACAAATCTTCGGAAGAAGAAGAGGGCGGTGACTGACGAACGAATCCAACTCTTTAAAGATCGGCACATCTGGTGCGAAAGGATTGTTGATGTGGATGAGGCTGATGAGTGGAAGTATCATGAGGTACTTCTTCAAAGTGGGATGCGATGGTCAGTAATGGAGCTCGAACCTTACATAAGTAAGGTGGTGCGAGAGTTCTACGCCGGACTACCACCTGAGACACCAAGTGACCCATCACAGGTGTTTGTGGTAAGAATCAGGGGAGCAAAGGTCCGGATCTCGCCAGGAATCATCAACGAGACTCTTCGTCGTGAGCCGCTGTCTGAGGCAGAGAGGAAGGAAGAAGCAGAGGCAGATCTTGTGCCAATCTCCGAGGTGTCGAAGTATCTGTCTCAAGGACATCAGTCTGTTTGGTCCGAGCTTACTTCAAGGGATTTTCCACCCAGGATAGCCGCTCTGATGGTTATTGCGTCGTACAACTGGGTGCTGTCAACAAATAAGCATCATATCTCCGAAGAGCGAGCTAGACTGGTCTACAAACTGGCACACGGAGTCAAAGTAGACATAGGACGGATGATCTTTCAGCAGATGCTCGATCTGAGCAAAGTGATCAGAGGAGATCAGAGATGGCTGATGTTTCCCTGTCTCATCAGCAAGGTCATTAAGAGACAGTTGATTCTGCAGCTTGAAAAAGGAGAGATGTGGATCTTTCCAACAAAGTACAAGAAAGATCCACGAAGCGGAGAGACATTCCTGAAGAAAGAAGCCGCAGCTGCTGCTACAAAGGTGAGGACTAAGGGAAAGGAGAAGAAAGAGGCCCGGAAGAAGACTGCATCAGCATCAACGTCTCATCAGCCTAGGACGAATCTGCGCTCTACAGCAACTGCTCAACCAGAGATACCAACTGAAGGAGTCAACAGCGTGAGTCTAGGAGTGATTCGAGTGCCTGAGGCTCCAGCTGATGCAAAGGGAATCAGGACAGCACTTGAAGATGTGGCATCAGTTCTTGAGCAACTCGGGATAGTAACGGCCATGCTACGCGCTGCAGTCACAAGTAAACCCACTTAGACCCTATTTGATCTTTCAAATTATGTTTGCTCATCGATTATTTTTAACATCTGTGCTCACAAGCAGGGGGAGAAGATTGAAATCGATGGATGCATGAATTATAGGGGAGTTTTCGTTTGGGTTTATTTTGGGGGTTTTAGAATTCTGGGGGAGCAAGGAGAGAGTTTTTTTTAAGACACTGTGTTTTATTTCTTATCTCCTTAAACTCGTTTATGTTAAGACTTGACACTCCATTGATTTCTTGGAGTTTCTTTTGGTTAATCAGAATCTTTTGGAATCATTCCCAGAATTGTGTGTGGCTTGTAGTATGCTGGTTGTTGCTTGTTTGGTCTCGATTTCCTGAACAGGTACTTGTGGAGCACATATGCTAAAAAGGGGGAGATTGAAGATGCAAACAAGGCTGGAGCAGCACGTGTAGCAGTCCGACTAGCTCTGGAACTGACACGGGAAGACTTGCGGAGCAATCTACACACGTGGAGGTGAGCTGGAAACTGAGCTGGAGCTGCAGGACTTGCTGGACACTTCAAGAGACGAGAAGCTGACGTGGATAGGAAGCTTGGAGTATCTTGGAGGATATTTGAAGAAAATATCAAGTTTCCTCTATCTTAGGAGAAGATAAGGAAGGTGAAGATTCTCATGAAGATTTGGAGAAATCACAAGGAGGATCTAGGCGAGGAGTAGCCGCAAGTCCTATTATGTATAAATAGGCGTGTGAAAAACCGTGTAGGGTTTTTAACACAACTGAGAGAATACTTAGCAAAGGGTGAGCGAAAATCTGTGAGAGTTTTTGTGAGCTAGTGTGCTAAGGGATTTGGGTGAGAGGTTCTTGAATCACGTATCGATTCAAGAACAAGTGAGACTAGTGTAACAAATCAAGGTGTGTCTTGAGGTTGCTCTAAATCGGGTTCTGTATACTTGTAAGTTACAAACAGATTTACTAGTGAAATATCTTTGAAGAGAAAATCCCTGAGTTGTGTTATGTGTTAGTTCACGTATTACTACTCTTACATTTTCACATGCTTGGTTTGACACCCTTTATACTACATTGATTAAAAGGATTGATAGCCCTCAGATCCTAAAAACTCTTGTCTATCACATTGAGACAAGGATTGCTCTTTGTTTCATCATCTAACCGTCCATTGATTAAATCCAATGGCCAAAGATCTATAACTTTTTTCACCTTTTCTCCCCTTTGTCTCCTCTTCCTTCGTCTCCCTTCTCCTCCGTCTCACGCTGCTCAGTCTTCCTCGGCTTCTCCGCTAGCTTTTTCAGTTTCGGTTTTGTCTTCTCTAGATTTTCCATCTCCTCATTTTCATGGTTCCAAATTCGTAACTGGTTCTGAACCAGATCTATCAATATTTTGTGACTGGATTTCAGATATGTTTGATCTATTGGATTCAAAGGTGTATCGATTACAGAGATAAGGTATGTATATACAAACTGAGACATTGGGCTAAATTGAAGTATTAATGAGTGTAACTTTTGTTTGGTTCTTCAGATTTGGGAATCTAGCAAAAAGATGGTTGGATATCTTCAAAGATCTGTTCGGATTAAAGATTGAAACCACACTGAAAGTATAACAATGTTCATAGAAGCAATTGATTCCTTGGACCATTGTCTTCGTTGAAGATGCTTTCCACCGACGAAAGCTTTTAAATCTTCTCCGGCTCTGGTTTCACCTTTTGTGCCTAGAAATGAAACGCGATTACTGTAAATCAAATTGTTTTGTTTAATAATTTAATAAATAAAATATTTTCTTTTATTAAAACTATATGAGAAAGCCACGGATTAGCCATGTATTATGTCGTGGCTAAGGAGTCATGAACTTTTAAGTGACTATTTCGTGACTAAGCTAGCCATGAAACACTCGTGGCAAAAACGTGGTTATGTTGCCACGAAAAAATTTAATCACGATGCTATAGACACGGTTTTTTTTCGTGGCTTTTCGTGACTATTTCATTGTATAGCTACGAAATTTAAGCCTTAGTCACGAAATGTTTTGTGGCAATATGCTATTTTTTTCTCGTAAACAAAACATTCTGAAACTCGTTGTGGAGTCGACACCTAAGCAAATCACTACACAATTAAATATATAGATATATCATATGTAAGAAGATTAGCCATAGAATCGTCATCACCACTATGTGGAGGAGAGAAGTCAGGTCAGGGAATTTTCTGAAAATATTTCAAAGCTTTTCTCTTTATCTCGTGTGGATCTGTAATTAAAACACTTGCATCATTCATCAACAGTTTAATAGAATTTTTGGGATTCCGAGCTTGTACAGATATGTGAAAAAGAGGTGTTGCAATCCCCGTGACTAATCCAACTGATATGTATTTTTGTTGGAAAAACTTCTCCTCTATACTCGCACAATGATTCCATTCATTTGCTGTTGCTGCCTCAACCACAATGTATTTTTTGGGACGGGGGTCGAGAAGCACTTGCTTTTTTCTCTCACACAGCACATCAAAACAAATATGAGTTCTCCTTGTTATATCACCATATCTCTCACGATTTAGAGCTCGTAAATGAGGTTATAACAACTTTAGCTTCCAGTTGAACCTGTGAAGGGCAATTCTGGAGTGGAAGAGAAGCTCCGTTTCTGACCAAACACGAGACAAAATATCCAAAAATTGGGGATGCTCAGCTAAATAGTTAAGAAACTGAAAGTGGTGACGCTTTTTTGTAGTAATATTGTCCATCTTCACCAAACAACGAGCATGGTTAGAGATGCCCATTTGCGTCAAAAGCTGCATACGAATTTGGGAAGCACGAGAACCATGCATTGTTAACTAAAGCTCTGTCTAGTTTTGCGAATGGGATCTCCATCCTTATTGTTCCACCAAGAAAATTTTGGTCGTACATATGTAAGATTTGGGAGCTCCCAAATATAGTAACCACATAAAACATGAAATTATAATCCAAAATTTTAGTACACAATATCATGCAACATGTATAAAATAACATAATAATGCCATAGTATAAAGTATATGATATGTTCTAAATTTCAAAATATATAAACTAAGAATGAAAAATTATATCTGAAATCTACTCTAATAAAAGGAGAAATTTGAGGCTCCTCAAGGTGTCCATCTCAACCAAGATAATATGTTCTGAGAAGATGCCACGTCAGCACCACTTATAAGTGAACAAGACTTATTACTACTTATACATGCAATTCCGCTGGCCCAAAAAAAACCCACAACAGACTCATACATAAAATCTCATTAACGCACAAGAAAACAAATGCACATAATATACCCATTACCATCTTAATGAACCACTTTTCTATTTGGTCCAATCAGTGGACCGTACCAGCCGATAGTGGTAAACCAATATACAGGATCTACTAATTACCAAAAAGGCCTTCATTCCCTGCAGGCTGCATCCATATAAAGTACCTACCAAATTGGGAATCTAATCTACCATTAAAAATTCAACAAATATGGCAAACAAATATCCCTTTACTATGCCATTTAAATATAGTCAAAACCATGAGAAATCTGAAAAAATCAAAAACTGTTATGAATTAATATTATGGATGCCCATTATAAGGCTCGTATAAAAGTAGGTTTAGAATATTCTATATTTCCTTATTCTCTAATTTTTAGCTTCCTTCCAAGTCTTTGTAATACTATAATACCTATCATTATTCATGGAATAAGACACAACAATTCCTCTCTTCTCTTCTCTCTCTTTTTTATTCACAACACATTATCAGTACGGTAGTCTCTTTATTTGTTCTTCCACCAAAAAAGTGAGATTTAATTTATGTTCATGTTTATATTATTTAGGGATGATAAGTGATACCTTTTTCCCAAGTCAATCGTTATGGTAGGCCATGCCTCCTCGATTGTATAATCATATGGTAGATTATGTCTCCTCCGATTATATTTTATATAAGGGATGGTAATCAAACTTATCTAGAATCATTATTATCAATTGTTTGATCTGTGTATCTTTTGATTAAAGGTTTTTGTTAAATTTTATGAAAACTGTTAAAGAGTGGATAATTATCCACATAAACACTGACTTTATTAAAGTCGGTTTCTCTTCCCCCCTATATATATGTCACTTCCCTTTGTACAAGTTTAGATGTAAGTTAAGTGAATGCAACAACAATAATACAAAGTGATATCAACTTCTCTCTTCCTCTCTCTCGTCTCAATTCAACAAATCTATAAAACACATATTTTACTTTATTTTAAGCAATAATTTATATTATGTTATCAGCACGAACGTCTCTCGATCCGTTTTTATACCAAAGATGTAAGTTTTAAGTTTATGTTCCATCTATTTCAAGTTTATATATTATTTTGGGATGATAGGCTCCGCCTTCCCCGAATCGTTGATTTAAATTTATATTAATTTATTTTCAAGTTTACGGGATGATAGGCTCTGCCTTCTCCGAACTGATCGTTATGATAGGCTATGCCTTCATGATCATATGATCATATGGTAGACTATGTCTCATCAGATCATATATATGGAGTAGAAGGTTAAACCTCCTCCTTGATATTATGTTTATGGAGTAGTAGGCTCTGCCTCCTCAAAAAGAATATGGTAGGCTCTGTCTCCTCAAAAAATATGGTAGGCTCTGCCTCCTCAAATTATATGGAAGGCTCTGCCTCCTGTATTATTTTGAATTTTATGCTTTTATTATGTATGAAAATTAAATTATTTTTTTTATCATGGTTTTCTCGAAAAGCAAATTTTTAAACTGAACGTTTGCTAAATTTATTTTTGATAAAATTATATACAGTTATAATGTCGAATTTCGCATAGCTCGAAATCCCTGCCCTTGATGTGTCTGGAAAAAATTATATGTCAGGGGCAGTAGGTGCAAAAATGCATCTAAGAGGAAACGGGCTTCTCGATACCATCGATAAGTCGGAAACAACATCAGATGAGGCGAAAGCCATGATATTTTTGCTCCACCACATTTATAATAATTTAAAAGAGGAATACATCACAAAAGAAGATCCTGCAGATCTTTAGCAATCTCTCAAAGATAGGTTTGATCACCAGAAATATGTGATCTTACCGAAAGCCAAACATGAGTGGCTGAACCTCCGGTTTCAGGATTACAAAAGTGTTGGTGAATATAACTCCGCTATGTTCGGAATTATTTCCAGGATGATGTTATGTGGACAGGAGGTAAGTGATTTCGACATGTTCGAAAAAAACTCTCCAAACATTTCATCCTGGAAATATAATCCTGCTACAACAATAACGGGCAAAAGGTTACACCACTTACTCGGAGTTGATGCAAGTCCTCCTTGTAGCTGAACAAAAATAATCAGCTCGTGATGTTAAACTATCAATCTCGTCCAACTGGATCATCGCCATTCCCAGAAGCGAATGTTGCGTCATCCAGTCAAAATAATAGAACCGGACACGGACGCGGGCGCGGTCGAGGCCGTAACCGTGGTTGCGGACGAGGTCGTGGACGAGGAAGACAAAACAATGTTGGTCGGGGCGTAGGAAAGCAAAAAGAAACTGCTTGTTACAGATGCGGCATGAAAAATCATTGGGCAAAAACCTGTCATACGCCAAGACATTTAGCCGATCTGTACCGAGCATTACAAGATGCCAAAGAAAAGGATAAAGGAAATAATTTTGAAACCAATTTCATCTCTGATGAAGCTGGACCTTCCTTTGATGGCATAAGTGATTATACTCATCTTGATATCGCTGATTTCCTTGTTGATCCTGAAGAATCAACGGAAACAAAGCGATTAAGATCGATGTAATATAATATCTTTATGTAGAAGATAAGAAAAACTAATGTGATCTTAAATAAGAATTTAATATATTTTTGTAAACATAAAAAGGTCTTTCTTAATGTAAAATAACTTTTAAAATCATGTTTTTGATTTATTAATGCATTTTTTTGCATATTGTGATTCAGACTATGACATTGTTTGAGATTCACGATGGAGATACATGTCTAGCCGACAGTGCTACGACACATACTATACTTAAAGATAGAAAGTATTTCTCCTGTCTCAAAATAAAGGACCGCGCAGGAAGCGTGGGTACCATATTTGGTAATGCAAATATTATAATAGGCTCCGAAAAAGCTAATTTTTTAATGCCAAAGGGGACAAAGTTTGAAATAAGTGATGCATTATATTCCCCCGAATCTAGCAGAAATTTGCTAAGTTTTAAAGATATCCGAGGAAATGGATATCATATAGCAAGTACAAATAAGAATTTCATTGAATATCTTTGCATTACTTCTGAGAGGAAACATGTATTGGAAGAATTACCAATGATGTCCTCTGGATTATATTGCACAAAAATAAATATGATTGAATCATATGTTATAGTAAACCAGGGGTTTACTAGTACATCTAGAGTATGACATGAAAGATTTGGCCATCCTGGATCAGTCATGATGAGAAAGATTGTGCAAAATTCGAGTGGCCACCCATTGAAAAACCAGAAGATTTTTCAATCGGGAGAGTTTTCATGTCAGGCATGTTCTCAAGAAAAACTCATAACTAGGCCCTCGCCAGCCAAAGTTGGGAATGAATCTCCTGTATTCTTAGAAAGAATACATGATGATATATGTGGGCCGATTCATCCACCGTGCGGGCTATTTAGATATTTTATGGTATTAATTGATGCATCTAGTAGATAGTCACATGTGTGTGTATTGACCACAAGAAATATGGCTTTCGTAAGATTCATTGCTTAAATAATCAGGTTGAGAGCTTAATTTCCTGATTATACCATAAAGAAAGTCAGGCTTGATAACGCTGGTGAATTCACTTCAGCAGCCTTTAATGACTATTGTATGTCATTAGGAATCGATGTTGAGCATCCGGTTCTACATGTTCATACACAAAATGGCATGGCTGAGTCTTTGATAAAACGGTTGCAATTGATTGCAAGACCGTTAATATTGAGAACAAAGCTCCCAATTACTGTATGAGGACATGCTATGTTGTATGCAGGGGCATTGGTCTAGATGAG